AGAAGAGAAGAGAAGAGAAGAGAAGAGAAGAGAAGAGAAGAGAAGAGAAGAGAAGAGAAGAGAAGAGAAGAGAAGAGAAGAGAAGAGAAGAGAGAATCTGAACTGGGGGCTTCCTGGACCCTTCTGGAGTTTGCCTTTCTCCCTCCAAGGTGAGCTAACTGGGCTCCCCACCGCTCCATGGACTGTGGAGACTGGAGACTGATCCTGTGAGCCATGGGGACTCAGTGGGGCGGTGGGCAGATGAGAGCTGGGACAGCAGGGTAGCACTGCTGGAGAAAGAAGATAAATAAGAAACAGCCAGCGGAGGACTGGACAGGGGCCATCTGAAACACACGGTACATTCCGGCCCCAGTGTAACAAACTGTACCAGCCTTCCTGAGAGCTGGGAGCACTGCAGAGGGGTGGAAGACAGCAGAGGGGCCTCCCCCTCCTCCCCCCTCCTCCCCCAGCCCTGGCACCGCACAGAAAGCCCCTGTCCCTTTGGCAGCTACAGGAAGCTTCCCATCCCTGCTCACACTCTGTACCCTGAGTTCCTCTCCCAGCTCCAGACAGGGGTGGGGGAGTCGTCGTCGTCGTCGGAGGGCGGTGAGAGGGTGGGACTTGGGGGGTGGGTGGGCAATGGGTGTGTGAACGGAGTGGGGGTGGATTGCCACCACAGCCCAGGTGACCTCAGGGGAGGTGGCAAGCATCCTTCAGACAGGGACTCATTGTCACCCCATGTGAGGGCTGCCAGGGAGGTAACAGAGGAAGTGCCTTACCCAAGGTCACACAGCCAGCTGTTCTCGGGGTGGGACAGAGCTACCCAGAACTGGGCAGTGCTGGGCACTCTGGGGTGTAGGATTGTAGGAGTGGCAGGCCAGAGAACAGGCAGTGCCCAAGGACTAAGGGTGGGGAGCCCACATTCAAGGCTGCCCCCACCATGCTCTGCTTGGCTGTGAGTGGGCGAGGCTTGGGTACAGTCCCCTTTCCAACCTTCCCCCAAACTCCCCCTAAATAGCAAAGATAATACTTGTGAAATATTTAGCATGGAGGCTGTTTGGTGTGGATATCAACTAAAATGAGTCACCTCCACCCCTCCCCGATTCTCCTAGACACACACACACTCACTCACTCACCACTCCGGGTACAGCACCTTCTGGGGATTTTTTTTTTCCACATCACCCCCTTGTTCCTTGGAGGTCTCTATAGCTGTTACATACTTTGGGCGCGTACCACCTGTTGGTTTAGGGTACAGTTAGTCTCACACACTGTGTGCTTGCTCCTTCAACGGGCTTACAACACGCCCAAGAGTATTTTGTGGACCAGGATCTGCAGTATCAGGCTTGGGGGGTGAGGGATGAGTTGGGGTTGGGTGAACGAGGCTTTAAGGAAAAGTTGACTTGGCTTCCGCTTCAAGGGCTTTCTAATCTGGTTAGAACTGGGCGAGTAAACATATCTAGAACAGGAGACAGGCCCCAGGCCGCTGAGCTTTTGGGATGGGGGGGGGAGGGAGCGCACTTCAGCTGGGGCTTCCCTAGCAGGATGGGGAGACAGAGGGCAGGCACCATGACGGACATGCATGGCACAGAAACCTGGAGGTATGGGAAGAAGGGAGAAGACAGAACCTTTGAAAACGTCTGTGGGGCTGGAGAGAGGACTCAGGGTTAAAAACAGTTGCTGCTCTTGAAGAGGATCTGAGTTCGGTTCCCAGTGCCCACAGGAGATGGCTGACCACAACCGGTAACCCCTGCTCCTGGGGAATCTGACGCCCTCTTCTGGACTCAGCAGCTCCAAACTGTGTGTGTGTGTGTGTGTGTGTGTGTGTGTGTGTGTGTGCGCGCGCGCGCACACGCGCGCGCGCACGCGTTCTCTCTGTCTCTCTGTCTCTCTCTCTCACACACAGACACACACACAAATAGAGATAAAATATTAAAAAAGGATGTCTCACGTTTCATGACCTCCTTAGCGGGACCACCCCAGAGCGGTCCATGTCTAAGGCGCTCAGGCTCAGCACACAGTCCCCTCTTTGGAGGTGGTGTCTTTTCAGGATCGGCTGAGACAAATGATGGTTCTCAGTAACACACCAGTGTTTGGGACTGAACAATAGGCAGAGGCTTTGGGGTCCTCTTACGCCACCCTGCCCTTGCTCCACCACTCCCACTCGGCTCTCCCTCCTCTCAGCATCCTGCCAGGGGCTTCCCAAGCTTTCCAAAAAGGCCGGGCTTGGTTGAGGGCTCCGGGAATCAGGGTTGAGTCTCCGTGCTACCGAAGTCTGTGACGGATCAAGGGTGAGGGGTGAGAAAGAGGGAGGTTCCTCCTAGGGATCCTTGAATTGATCCCCTCAAAGCGGGCTTCTGTCGTCACGTGACCACATTCCCGGTCTCCCAAGTCTGGGTCTGGCTTGCTTCCAACTATCCTCCCGCTGTCACTGGGACTGAGCGTCAGTGTGGAGGGTGGGAAGTGTGTGTTTTGGGCGGCGGGAGCGGGGGGGGGGGCTCGCAACACCTGCCCCAGCCCCCCAGCTGTTCTCATTCTCCATCCACTCGGGGGTAGGGGGATGCACCCAGCCAGGGAGGGCAGATGCGTCTGGAGAGGCGCGCGTGCTCCGAGGCCGGCGAGTGTTCAGGGCTGCTGGGGCCCACCCTCCACGGGTGCGTTCTCAGAGTCCCCGCGGCCACGGGAGGCTGCGCCATAGCGCGCAAGCCGCGAGCACAAACAGGGCGAGGAGGCTGGTGTGAGCGCCTGGGCCCGCTGCCAGAGCGCTGGGGCTGGAACACAATGTCCCGGGCGAGAGCGGGCGGGCGGGCGCGAGCGAGAACAGCCTGACTCAGCAGCTGGGTAAGTGGGTGTGTTCGCCCGCTCCCCAGATCAACCGCTCCTGCAGCCTGCGGTCAGCAGCGGCGGGCTCCGCGCAGGGAGGGAGGGCGGGCGCGGCGCTCCGGGACCTCCACACGGTCGGGTACACGGACTCCTTGCCCCTGCAGGAAGCCATCTCGGGGCCCTCCGGGCCGGAGCACCGCCGGCTCAACCCACCTGGGACGGGAGTATCCTCACCGCGTCCATACGTGCGGAGGATCACGGAGATGCTGGCTGCAGGCCCCGTGGTCCCACCAAGCACCACCCACTCTGGACCGCCTCTGGAGGTCTCAAGAGTGGCTTGTGACTGTTAGTTGCAGAGAAAGCAGTTTGCTTTGGGGTTTTGGGGGGCAAGGGGGCAAAGGAAGAGCATCCTAGAAGAATTAAGGCAGAGTTCTGCCCTGTCCTTGGCTGACCCAGAGTGTTCAGAGTCTCTTCCTGTCCCCCCTCCTTTCAAAACCACTGGGGCCCTGAAGATTTCCTCCCGGGAGGGAGGGAGGGAGGGAGAAGCAGGTGGCCTGGTCCTCTGAAGCCTGAGATTCTGCTCTTTTGCTGTCCCCACCCTCCCACCTGAAGCCACAGCAAAGGCCCACGAAACTGGCCACCCAGCCACAAAATTCCTCCTTCGTGCCTGCTCACTGTTGTGGTCTGCTGGGGCCATTGACAGCATGGCATCAGGCCAGAGCCGGGAGCGGGGTGGTTCCTGGGGGGGAGGGGTTGTTTAGTGCTCCAGCCTCCTGGGGTGTCTTCAAGGTACCCCGAGGGACACCCTGTGCCTGAAGAGTGCCAGGGCAGGCAGGGAGGGGCTCTGTCCTCTGCTGGATTCCCGGAAAGGTTTTGGCAGACAGCACAAGCCTGGGTTCCAGGGCCTTCCAGGCTGAAGTTTAGGGGAGGGACCCTAGACTGCTGAAGTACCTCACCTGGGCCTGGTGTCCCCAGGCCATCTGATTGCACCATCTGCACGCTCTGTAGCCAAAGGTGAGGGGATGGGTGCCAACGTGGATCCAGGCTAGGGACCACCTTCCAACACAACAATGCACTTCCCATACAGACGGCTGGTCACCCAGCTGACACTCAATACCCCAGGGAGGAGACAACTTGAATGTCCCCTATCCCAACCCACAACTAGGTCTGTCCCTGGTGCCCATGTTTGTAAGTGAAACTGTGATCTGGGCATGCTCAGAAGGCAGCTCACTGCCTCCAGACCTCTCCAACTCTGGTTCCGGAGGAGACACTTGCCTTCACATGACCTATAAGTGACTGACAATTGACCGCATTCCTAGACCATTGCCTACTGAGACCCGATCCCCCAAACTCCCTACAGCGGTAGACTGGTTTTTAGAGGGCTGAGGATTCAATCTAGGCTCTTACAGTACTAGGCAAGCACTTTGTCGCTGAGCTAAATCTCTACCCCAGTTGGTTAATTTCAATTTTTAAAAATTAAATGACTGGTGTTCACAGTCTAACGCCAGCCAGAGCAGCCTCTTGCTCGCCCAGCTCAGGTGGTGAACAGGAAAACAACTAGCTACCAAAGCCGCTCGCGAGAGTGCGCCCTCTACTGGAGGGGTGAAGAAACCCCATCGTTAGGACCTCATACTGTGACACTTCCCTGAGATCAGACACCATCAGAAGTCCGCCGAACTTCTGATTCCCAACCTCCCCTTCCCAAATCTGGTGAGAGAAGTTGCTCAGGACTTCAAAAGAGATCTGCGCCTCCACAGGGCAGCTGTCAGTGCTTTGCAGGAGGCAAGTGAGGCCTACCTGGTTGGCCTGTGTGCGGCTATCCACGCCAAACATGCAACAATCGTGCAAACAGATATCCAGGTAGTGAGCTGCATACGCAGAGAACGTGCTTGAGATTCCAATATGAGGGGAAATGTTTCATTCTCAAAAAAACCTTTTTTTTTTTCTTCTTCTTCCTGTTTTACCAGTAGTTCTGAATGTTAGTTATCCATGGGGTCAAAAGGCACCTAAGTATACGATTGCGTGTGGAAAAATAAAGGACAGAAATCAGGTATTGGCGGTTTTTCCATTTTCATTTGTTTAGGAGTTTTTAATATAAATGTAAGATGTAAAGCATTAGTGTTTCAGTGAACACATTTCAACGGTTCAACTTTATAACGGTTATAAATAAACCTGATTTTCTGGGCGAAAAAAATTAAATTACTGAGCCCTTCATAGTGGTACACACCTTTAATCAAGGCGCTCAGGAGGCAGAGGCAGGTGGATCTTTGAGTTCGAAGCCAGCCTGGTCTACAGAGTGAGTTCCAGGATAGCCAAGGCTACACAGAGAAACCCTGTATCAAAAAAAAAAACAAAAACAAAAACAAAAAAAACCTAAAAATTACTATGTGTGTGCACACATGTACGTGTGTGTGTGTGTGTGTGTGTGTGTGTGTGTGTGTGCATGTATATGCCACAGGGTACATGTAGCAGTCCAAGGACAACTTTGTTGCCTGTTCTCTTTTTATCCCATGGGGCCCCAGGGATCAAACTGAAGTCATCAGACTTGGGGGCAAGTGTCTTCACTGGGGAGCCATCTTGCTGGCTCCAGGTGGTTAACTTTTAATTGCTCTCTCTACCCACAGCCTAGATTTCATCCGTCACCAAATACCAGACTCTTCACTTTGTTGCTTACGTTTAAAAATGTTATTGTTTGTTCGTGACTTTTTCCGATCCTTTCTCTCCAGCCCTACAAAGTCCACCTTTGGCCCAAATTGTCCTGCTTTCCAACCTGGAGTTTTCCTGGCTCCTACACACCCTGCTGGGATAATCCTGCCCAAGCACCATTTACTGTGTATGTTCAGCCAAGCACACTGGGTACACTGGGTGCTATCCTGGGTGCTCTTGAGCAGAAGCCTGGGTTCATCCATCATCTCCAGCCCACGGCACTGAGCACAGGCCGGCCACACAGTGAAAGGACATCAGGCGTTCCTCAGTGAACAAACCATCCATTTGATCCAGCATTCCCTCACCTCCCTCTCGTTTTCTCTCCTGATTTGGTCTCCCCATTCCCACAGAGCCTAGTGCCCTCCTGATTCAGCTCACTCGGGCCCTGTTTTTAAAACATGTATTTATTTTTATTTATTTAGTGGGTGTGGGTGCAGGTGTGCCGTGGCCGAATGTGGCAGTCACTTAACAACCTTCAGAAGCCAAGTCTCTCCTTTTGCCATGTGGGACCCCAGGCCATCAGGCTGAGCAGCAAGCACCTTTGCCCACCGGGGCCATCTTGCTGGCCCTCACTCCCTGTTTTTCATCTACTTCAGACTCTTCAGCGATCAGAAGGAGAAGCTGACATCCAAGTGACCCTCGGGGAGTTTGTCACGGGGCAGCTGCTGTGGTGCCTGCTCCTGGGGGTCAAAGATAGCCAGAAGGAGGCCAGAAGACCCACAGGAGGGGCTGTGGATGGGACTAAGTGAGAACACATAGGAGGCTCTGGGTCCCCCCATCCTCGGCAAGGTGTGGTACAGACCTATAATCCCAACATTCGGGAGTTAGAGGCAGGAGGATCAGACCCTGAAGGTTATCCTTGACTAAATAGAGAGTTTGAGGTCAGCCTGGGCTAGAGATCCTGTCTTAAAAATAGCAAAAAAGGTCTGACAAGCTCTGAGTCCCTTGTTTGGTGTTCCGACTTTACAGCCACTGCCTGACCCACCTGCAAACGCACCTTCCACAGGAAAGGCTCCGGTAATCCCAACCCTATTTTGATCCTTTTGAGCAGCCACCAACCTTTCCTAGGTTTTATTGCTCAGTTATGTCCTGTAGTATCTTTACCCCATTTCCTGGTGGGTTATAAACTCCTTCATGACAGAGACTTGTCCTTTCTTATCACTTACTTAGTCTAAGAACGAGACCAGACGAGGGTACTCAGACCCACAGGCTTGGGTCCCATCCTGGTTCCAACACTTAGCTATTTGCTTAGTGAACAGCTCAGACTCAGTTCCTACATCTGTCAAAGGCGCTAGAAATACAAGGGGCAAAGGTCAGAAAGACCTGAAGTGCTGGGAACGAGCTGGTACGTGGTGGTGAGCTCACAGCAGTTTCTCTTCCTTCCCTGAACGGCTGGGGCCTTCCATGAATCGCAGAACTGTCTTCCCTGGTTAGTGTTTATTACAAGAGAAGAGAGACACTGAATAATTACGTAGATGGCTCAGTGGATAAAGCCGCTGCCAAGCCTGACGACAAGAGTTGGATTCCTTCGCTCCCACAAGGTGGAAAGAGGGAACTGACTCCTCCAAGTTGCCTGCCCTCAGATCTCCATATGCTCGTGGGGGCACACGAGTCCCACCCCCACAATAAATGTTAAAAAGTTGCATATATTCCAGAATCATATCCTGGGTGCAAGGCCACTCCGCCCGCATTCGTGACAACCTGTGAACCGCAGGCTTGGAAAGAGCAAGACAATCCCTAAGGAGAGCGACAAGCATGTTTGTTGAATTAAAAATCGAACATAGGTTGTCCCTCATTCATTTTCTCGAACACCAAGCGAGTCAAAAAAAGCAAAGACAGAAACGCCCCACCCCGCCGCGCCCCCAGCCCAGCCGCACCCTGTCCCAGAGCCCCAAGTTGCTCTTAGTCCCCAAAGTCCGCTTGTCTCCAGCACCGCCTCCGATTGCCTTGGAAACAGTGACGTTTATAGGGGGCGTGGCCTCTCTCCATCCTCTCCAACGGCTTGAGCCGCGCCTTAACACAACCTGGGGGGAGGATGAGGTTAGAGTTGCTGGGTCCCCCGCCATCCCTTAGGCGGAAGATAACTACGTACACCGGTCTGCGTCCAGGGCAGAGCGTGCATCGCGCTTGCTTTTGGCGTTCTAGCCCAAGATCCGACAGTGCGGGCCTGGGTCCCCGGGAACCTTTCCTGGTGATCTAGCCGGGGTGGAACGGTTGGGAGTCTGGAAACTGCAGGCCTGGGTCCCCGAGAACCTCCCTTGGCGATCTAACGGGAGTCTGGAGACTGCAGGCCTGTCCCTGGGAGCCAATTGCACCCTGCATCCTCGACACTGTCCGAGCAGCTCCGCCGGGCGCAGTCCTGCGCCTTCCGGGGCACCCCAGGCTCTGCGCGCCCTGGGCGCGGGCGGGAAGGGGTTAAGCAAGGTGCCGGCGCGGGGCGCGGCGGTGTGGAGGAGGGGAGCGGGGAGAAAGTGAGAGCGGGGGCGGGGGGACCGGAGCGAAAGAACATCCTGTGCCGCCGCCGGATGCGAGGGGCGGGGGCGCGGGGGAGGCCCGGTGATGCGCTCCGCCCCGCGCTCCTCCTCCCGGGCTCTGCCCGCTCCCGCGCTTCACGCGGCGTCTTCTGGTCCCTACGCCTTCGCGGGTCATGAGCTGGCCCGAGGGGCCCCTCGGCTCGAGTTCCCCGGCCGGGGTAAGCGCGGGGGGTGTGGGATCCGCTGCGAGGCACGGGCGCCCCGCCTTTCCCTCTGAACACTGACCGGGTGGTGTCCCTTGCTCAGCGATAGAATTGGCACCTTCTCTGGGACAGTCCTGCTGGCCGCACTGCCCGAGCCGACCCAGAAACGCTAATTTAG